CAGAATTGGCCAAATATGTTAAGGAGTTTCACATTGTTCTGTCTTTTATTGCTGGAGGCCAGGCTGATCCTGCACCTCATCTGGAAAGGGGAGTACCACGTCCCTCTTCTCTTACCTCTAATCAGACTGGTTTGTGCTAGGGCAGTTCTCCATGAATTTTTAGCCCAGGGACACTGTTGCATTGAAAGGCCTATAACATCTGGACTTGACAAACCTCTTTTTTTTTAAGGATGTTACACGTGCACACTGATGACATGGGAAAAATTAGAGGGGAACCAGGACTGAGCGAGTTTCAGCAGAGGAGAGGGTAACGGCGTGCATTTCAGGCAGCCTACTATAGTAGTAAGAAAACCTCAGTTGCTGGAGAGAGCTTCTCAGGTGCAAAAGGAAACCCCCTAAACCCCACTGCTCATTATTCTTGCTGTGTGATTCCTAGAGACAGGGGCTGGCCCAATGGAGGGGGAAGCTATCCCGATATTTAAGAGATTCAGAGATCAGAGGGAGAGGGAAGAAGGTCTGAGAAGTGGTGTTATGAGACATGACGAAATATGGTAGGGAAGCTCCAGAGGAGAAGAAAAGCAGAACAAATATTTCTCAGTTTCACTGCTTTGGTCTTTTCCTCTTTTGCCCCTTTTTCATTAAAGCTGAGATCTTTTAGAACAAGTAGCTTTTTTTCTTACTTGTCTGTTAGATAATTATTGCGAAGCCTTGTGCCTGGCTGTTTCAACTGTGGCTTCTTCAATGTGCTCACCTCATGGGGCCTGCAGCGCTCTTGTAATCATTGCCACAGAGGAGGAATAGCTGCTGCTAGGTCTGGGACTGCCTGGTTCAACCTCTACATTGCCCTGTACAGAGGCTTTTCCCCACTTGAAGCTGCAGGTGCTTTTCAGTAGTTGGTGGAGCGCGGTGAAGTCATAGGAGAAAGGCAAGGAAAGGAGAAGAGCCCTTTAACCTGAGCTGTGAAACAGACCATGCACCTGCTGTCTGCCCTGGTTTGTTTTATAACAATCCTTCCCCAACCTTTTTCCACCCTAGCCAGAAAACAGTAGGCAGCTGCATCTCCAGTCATTGCTTTGACTATTTTCCTGACAGACTGACCCAACAGCACCCAGCTTTCCCACCTTGAGCTGAGGGGCTGCCACCGCCATCCTTGGAGCTGTTGTAATGCACAAAGGTTGGTCCACAGAATGGCTCCAGAGGGGCTTGCTTGTCACCAGACCCTGGTAGCACCCAGAAGTGTAGGTGACAGGAGTTGTCAGGGCTGCTTCATGATGGTCTTCACCTTTGTTCCCCTTCTAAATTGGAAAGGGACCCTGGGCCGTGTGGCAACCTGGTCACAGTTCCCAATACTGCAGGGAGCTGAGGACCCCATGTGCTGTCCCACCATAATACCAGCTTAATGATGGCATCCCTTTTCTGGTGACATCTGGTGTGCTTTGACAGTGTCAGTCAGTCCTGCATGCTGGGCTTTTGTCCTGGGAAGGAATTTTTTCCCATCATATCACTGTCTCCTTGGTCTGCTGTTTGTAGTTATGGTCTGGTAAGGTCCTTAAATGTGTGCTTAACTTTACACATGTGCTGTCAGGTTCTCAGCTTGATTTCCTAAGGATATGAGACCCATGTGATTCTCTTCTCTCTCCCCCAGGTCTGTCTGTCAGCTGCCTCCCCTAATAATTTTTCTAGCTATTGTCCCTTTTCAGCCAAATTTTCCAGTGGCAAGGATCTCAGCATAATAAAGTTATTGCAAGTTTTGTGAAGAGGAAGGACTTGGAAGGTAAGAGTCTGAAGTGCTCTGGAAGAAGGAAATGTTACCACATGAGCTCAACCCCTGTTAGACACCAGAGAACCCAGGTAAGAGAAAGCATCATGGGCTCCTCACTTGTGGGAGAAGCTCCAGTCAGAGCTTGTTACTGACCATGAGGTACATATTTCAAGGAAACCATGCTCGTGGTCAAGGGACAATGTATTTCTAGATTGGAGGAGTGTCTGCCTACTCCTGTTTTGCCCTTCTTGGGTACTGTGTAGCTGTGGATTTTTTCCACATACTGAAGCCTAACTGATGGCTGGATCTGCGGTGAAGAAGGAACTGGTCAGTACTGCTGGGACTTTTGCTTGCTTCAGCAATATGCCATGGCATCCACTACATCTGGGAGTTTCTCTTAGCAAATTTGCAGGAACTCGAGCATTGAATCTCTCTTATTCTTTTCTTGGCATGTAAAATATTTCTTCACATCTTTGTCTTTGAAATCATAAATTTCTTATAAAGTATATGTGGGAGAAACAGAAAGGGTAGAATATTTGAGTTTTTTCAGGGGGTTTTTTGTTGGGTTTTTTTTTCTGGACTTAATATCCATTAAGCCCATTTCCTGCCAGGTGCATGAGCACTCATGTTCATCAGGCAATAGGACATAATAACCCTTAACTACCCAGCTCAGATCTTTGCTTAGCTCCACACCTGCCTGTGATTTGGATGAAGGCTCCCTGTTATTCCTAGTGATGGAGACCAGTGCCATTTTATGGATGGGAGGCTAAGGACGTGATGTTTCCCAGGCCGTGGAAGCAACACCTCTTGTTATAAGTCAGTAGATAAATTCTCAGTACAGTAAGATAGAAAAACATGAGATGCTCCAGAAAGGCATCTTACCACAGGCAGCGCCCTACGCCAGGTACTCCCCAGGCTGGCCAGCAGAGAACACCAAGTGCTGGAGTGTTTGCCTGTTAGATACCTTATTTCAGGCATAAGGGACCTTCCGCACTCTGAACCCTCTACTGAAATTAGATACATAGAGCCTTTCTGAGTGAACTTTTCCCAAGTTTGGCTGGGAGAAGAGGCCCCATCACTGCTCCTGCGCCTACCCAGCAGCTCACTACTCCAAGTAGTTGCTCAAATTACAGGAGAGCTGGGTTCAGCTTCTGGCTGCCTTCAGGGAGACGGATCCCAGGCAGTTCATCTCTCAGGTGAAAGGGTCCAAACCTCAGACACCGAGTCACTGCAGACAGTGCTTTCCCTCTCCCTGTCCTGGTGAACACATGGTGAAGTCCCACAGCTGGATGGGCTCTGGTAAGGGATATTGAGAGTGAGCCCCGTGGCACAACACATTATGGTTTGGGGTGAGGGAGGTGAACGCCGTCACAAGAGGGAACAGATTACAACCTGCCTTGCCCTTTCACCAGTGCTCCCATGGTTGAGTTAGTACAGAAACTGGGAGCACTAGCACCCTGCTGGGCTGTGTCCTAGGCAGGATAAGACACATCCTATCTTCTCTGTTGCCTTCTGAGACCCTCTCCCCATCTGCTTCCTTCGGGTGACAGAGGCAAAAAGGAGTGCTCAGTCTGCAGATTGCTCTTGTGCTTAGGCTGTCAGATTGCTGCTGCTGCAGTTCCCAGTCCAAGGGGGGGACTGTGAAACTCTGAGACACGCACTGAATCAGCATTGCAAGTGCTTGGGAAATTTTGAGGTCAAAGCCACAAGTGCCAGTTGCTGTGTGGCACGGTTAGCCAGTAGCTGAGCATTAGTGGACTGCAGTACTACAATTATGTAAAGTCTGCTGAGGATCTAATCCTCAAACTCTTGCCCAAGGTCACATAAGAAGTCCATGGCAGAGAGACAATTAGAAACCAAATCACCAGAGTCCTAAACTAATGTACTCACTGCTGAATCAAACCCTGTGAAATAAAAGCTTTAAACCAGATTATATTGCAGCCATGGCACTCTTGATACAGCTGATTGTTAACATGGGCATAGGTGTCATGGGGACTAAAACTGATAGTACACAACAGATACCTGCTTCTGTCAGAGTTCTATAAATACATATTTAGCAACTGCTTGCCATCTATTGAGCATGAAATAGCCATCTGATTAAATAACAATGCAATTATACTACCAACCATAAACATTTCAACTGGAGTTCCAGCATTACTTTTCCTATTCTTTGCCACATGTTATTTTATTGCTCACCTGGAGCAAGTAACTGTTTCTGGACAAGTGAGTAAAATTTGGTTAGTTTTTCAATCTTTCTTGTTATCAGGCTTGCTGAAGAGGTCAGTAGACTTTGAACTTGACATTGGACTTTTTCAGGTCCTAGACCTCAGCAAGTGTATTTTCTAATTCACATATGCTATACTGCTAGGGGTGCAATGCATTTTCTCTCTGGATCTGATAAATAAAGCTTAAGTGTTTCTTCTACAATTCTCACTTTCTTCCCAAATGTGTCTTTTAGTTAAGAGGGTCCTTGGTAGGAAATGAGCACCTAACAATTCAGGCTTGCAGTTGTTTGATTCCCTAGATTATAGCTAAACTACGAGAAAGAATGCTATGAATCTACTTCACAATTTTTACCACAGTTTATTGTACTGGGGCTTAATTAATCTCATTCTTTCACCAAAAAATTAACAACGCCATTTTTTTCCAGCACAGAAGTGAATGGTTGCATTAAGAAGTGGCTACAGACTAATTCCAAGCAGGCAACCAAGTGTCCGAAACACATAAAGAGATTTAATCCTGCACTCATGAGGAGGTTTTGAGATGGGAAGCCCATTTGCAGCAGAGTTTGGTAAGGCTTCTTGACTGGTTACTCCTAATGGGGTAGCAAGTGGGACTGAATTCAGAATACAAGGGGGATACTGGCTTGCACAGAGTGAAAAAGGATGTAAAAATTTTAAGTTACAGACTCATTTCTGTGCTGAGTTTTGGGAAAGCTCAGGTGAGCTGAGTTGATGTTGCTGAGGTTTGCAAGGTTACTCGCTATTGCCTGGGTTTCTGACACGCAATCTGAAAAGCATATTTCCCAACCAACAACTCAGAAGAGCACAAAAGAGGCTTTTTCCTGGGCTTCACAGCACCCAGAGGCTAACTCAAATCCAAGTAAACAAACCTAAGTTTTTGGGTGATCAGCTCCCCCAGCACAAGACCCTTTGTGGGTCTTCTCCCATGACTCTTCTCCAAGGCTCCAAACAATGCTGAGGTATCAACCCTGGCTGGGACATGCAGCAGCGCTTACCTCCAGGACCATCTCTGTCATCTGGAACTGCTTCTGGGAGACCTTGTCAGAGCTCACAGGCTCGTGGAAGAGCAGGCAGAGCATGTCGTACTTCTTCAGGGCCTGCTTGTAGTTCTTCTCATTCAGGTCGATCACTCGGTCTTTCCCATCATAAGTGGGGAAGTTCAGTCCCTCTTCTGCCTTGCAGCAGAAAAGCAGGTAAAAACCTGCCAGGATCCAGCAAGTTGCCTTCATAGGGGAGCCCTTGGAGTGCAGCGGAGGACGAGTAAACGTCCCCCTCCTTCTTAATTTGGGAAGAGGTGAAGTTTGAACTGAGTTTCTCTTTCTGACGCTTTCCTAGTAATCAGCCCAAAATCTGCAAGGCTGGTGGGGAGCAGCAAACTCTGCTGTCCTGGGCTCACAACAAAGAGACAGACAGGAGAAGCTGTCAGGCCAAGCCCTGGATACCTTACATAGCTGTGTCCAGCTCCCGTGTCATTAGGAACTCCATTTTTAGGAAGCAGTTGTTTCAGGCTAAAAATAAACCCTGCAATGAATAAAAAGGACAGATATGACACCATTGAGGGACTTGCTGGCACTCTGCATCATCTGAGAGGGAGCGAGCAAGAGGGAGGGAGTGGAAGATGCCGATGCTGGGAATATGCAGGCAGGGTTTGCGAAGGGACAGACTTTGCTTGTAGAGAGAACCAAGGCACAGCCTGTCCTACTGGGGCTTAACAAAAATAGAAGGGATTTACTGCATTTTTTAATAAGGGTACCTTTCTTTGTAACCCCTTGGGCATCACAGTGATTAAGCTTTGGATAACAGGTTTTGGATTAACCAGTTTCAGAGCTTCAGCAGCAGCTCTAGAGGAAAAGTCCCGTTTCCTCAGCAGCAAAGGAGGTGAGTGCTCATGGGACTCCCTCCTCCTCCTCCTGCCTGGGAACTGCTTACTGACATTCAAGCTCTTTTCTCAAGCACCTTCTCTGCTTGCAGGGTACCAGGAGAATTGGTGACCCTTGAACCTGTAATCCTAAAGCAGAGGGAAACTTATGTTACAACCTCCCATGCCCACATAGGTTACCAAGCCCCATACATTGCTGGTGACTGGTTAAAACCTTGTCATACTAAGGGGAAAGAAGGGCAGGGGGCAGTGCCCAAGCCAATGCCTGGAGGTAGGGCTCTTCTCAAGATGATGGACAGATGCCACCATTGCTGTTGGCCTCCCAGCCAATGGGACCTGCCTGCTGGCCTGGAGTGGGTTTTTCACAAAACCCTGTTGCATTTCCCAGCAATTGATCCTGCATATCCTTTCCTCTCCATTTCCTGGGAGCGGTGACCGGCTCCCCCTTCCCTGGGAACTCAACACTGGTTGCTGCTTTGCTGCGTTGCCTGCCCCACGCTGCTGGGGCATGAGGGTTCGGTGGCACAGTCTTTCACCGCTTCCCCTCCTCTTCCCCAGGGTGTCACAGCTGCCCCATGACTGGCAGCGACAGGCAGGTGGAGGCAGGCCAGCTGGCCACACGCCAGCACCAGGGCTGGCACGGGTCCGCTGGAGAAGGCATGCTGAGGGGCTGGCAGAGAATTTGACAGGGAGCATGGGTCTCCTCCCCCTGCCAAAGTGATGTGCAGACAAGTGACCTTATCAGGCCTCCTTCTTGCATGTTGCTCCACCACAGCCTTGCTCCATCCACATCAAGGAGGAGATGATGACATGATGTCCCTTCTTGGTGCATGCAACTCTCGCTTCAACCGACCGTTCCCATTTAATTGTGTGGCTGGGATTATTTCAATGTTTGGGGTGAAAGGCGAGCATTACTTAGCAGTTATAGAATCATCCTAGCATTATAGAGTAATTTATGTTGGAAAAGACCTTTAAGATCATTGAGTCCAACTGAAAACCTAACACTGCCAAGTCCACCACTAAACCATGTCCCTAAGTGCCACATCTACACATCTTTTAAATACCCCCAGGGATGGTGACTCAGCCACTTCCCTGGGCAGATTATACCCATCTCCTGGGTTACTTAGGAGCACACATGCCCTCAGCTTTCACTTCCAACCTGAACAGCTCACAACATACTGACTGAAATTCTGTGGGCAACAATTTCCAAGTCTGTCTTATTTCCAATGCCTCCTCTTAGTTTCTGCTCATGCCTTTTCAAAAGTTCAACATTTGCCTGCAACTTGATGATGAAGTCTGAGGAATGTGGGTAGAAGCCAGAGCAAGACAGCCTCAGAAATACACTCCCCATAGGTATCCTTCAAGGGAGGTAATTTCTAGAGGGAGATGTGACAAACCTGGATACGTCTGGTTGCTTTCAGAGAGAGACACAGGACTTGTGTCACAGTGGGTGGCAATGGCTGGCTAGGCTTTTGCTGCATGTTTAGGCTGTAAAATACACAACCGAGCTTGTGGGCTGACCAGGCACACATCAGGTTGATTGGTTGCCTTTGAAGGACTCCATGGATTTGGGGTGCAAGGAGCAGGCTTCCACTGGCATCAGAGTGTGTTTTAAAGTAGGCACACATTGGACAGGGCTGTAAAAATTAAATGTTCACAGCAACTTCAAAATTGGTTTCCGAGGCTCCTGCCCTCCTTTTATTCTTGTAGCTCTTCAACAATTGCTCCACTTTCATATCTCTCAAACTATTTTTGAGGCACTTTCTCTCTAGTCTGAATAACTTTTTAATCTGCCTAAAAATAGACACAATCCAATTTTCATTTTCTCCTCTTTTTGCAGTAAAAAAAAAAAAGGAACAAAAAGGCTTTTTATTCACAAAAAGTGTGGCCTTGTCAGCCCCAGATATATCTATTTTATCTGCCCTTGGCATAAGTAGCAAAGTTCTGTGACTATTAGGCTTCACCTCTGCTCTGAAGGGAATTACTCCAAGAGACCAACACTGTATATCATGGTCACTGGAGACCCTGTCTCTTTGTCTCTCCACTCAAAACTTCAGTGGGACTGCTAGTGCTAAATCCAGAGGACATTTTGGGGCAGACTCACTGTCAAGAAAAGGACAGTGTGTGGACCTGATGGGTTTGGGGAACCTGAGTTTTTTTGAAGGCCCATTTCTGTAGGACCATGACAAAAGGTTTCTCTACGTGCAAGATCCTTACCCATAGGGTGAGAGCAATAGCAGCCCCCCATAGGAGGGCAGGATGAGGGGGACAAAGAGCTTTTCTGTGAAATTTCAGATTTTGGATTCACAGGTTCATGACAAATACCTTGTGCTATCTTTCTGAATCATCCAAGGTCTTCCTGATCCCATTTAGCTACCTGTGGTTGCAAGATATTTGTTTCTGTGGCCAGCACCATGCAAGGAAATTATCTGGTCGGCACTGTGTGCTGGGACATTTCCCCATCAGTTCATTCCCTGGCAAAGCTGGCATCTGTTAGTCTCTGATATAAGTTGAGTGCAAGGCTCAACCTCCCAACTCCGACTCCTTAAACATCTTTTAGTCCTGCCTCTAGAAATCAGTATGATGCTCTTCCCTGGTGAACCATTCCACCGTCCACCTAAAAGCTCGCTGAGAAATGAGCCTGTAGGGCTCCATACCCATCCACCTGGGCAACTGCCCATGTCGTTCAAACAACCTTCAGAACTGACCTCAAAACTTCAGGTGAAGAAAGAGAGAATTAAAGGAAAAGCTTGCTGTTGGTTTATCCACTATTCTAGACTCTCTGGGATATATTCACTGAGCAAAATCCTGGCTCCAGGGAATTAGGTTGCAAACCCACCCCTGACATGCATTGAAGTAGGATTTTACTTTGTTTCTTTGAGTTTTGTGTGGATAGGGAGCCAGTAAGAGAAATACAACAGAAGTGCTCAAAACAGTACAATCTCAGCCCTTCACTTCAGGCCTTCAGAAATGCAGGGTGGGGATGTAGGACAAATCTTAGTGATTTTTTTTTCTCCTTGTATTAGAAATTAGGGATATCCACTTGCTGCCCCTCCCTCCTGGCTGCTGCAGCCGCTCTCCACACTGCCATTCTCACCTTCGTTGTCCTTTCTATCTCACACCACAAAAGAAGTCCCCAGCCACTGCTGATCCAAATGCTTCCGTGAGCCTTTTTTTCCAGGGCTTCAGGATTTAAGGTTCTGCTTTAGCTAATCTCTTTTCAAGCTTCTAAGACGTTGTATGTTTTGCAAGATAGGAGTATTCAGAACATATGCCTTTCACCACCAGCTAGCCAAGCAAGGTCACAGCTCATAATAACTTTGAGTGTACTGCTGACATTAGGGTGGAAGCCTCAGGTATGCACTGAAGCTTTCTAAGGAGACTGAGGAGATCACTATCATCTCAAGGAAAGCTCTGCAGTGTGAGAAAACCTAGTTTTCTCTCCCTTCCCTTCAAACCTGAAAGGTAGCATGTCCGTCTCGGTGCTTTACATTGCCTGTCCTCTAATGCAGTCATGTCATGATGGCAAGTACAAGGCAGAGAAGTTGTATCACTGATACTCCTTCCCTTTTATTCCTGTTTTAAACTGCCAGAGATCTTTGCATATTTTGACCGAGGTGTCCTGAGACCTGCCATGTGATAAGAAATGCTAGAAACCCTCCTGTTTTCTGACACACAGACACTGTTTTTGACGAGGAAAACAAAACACAGCACAGATAAAAGCACTTAGACAAAATCATACAGAAGTCGTAAAGGGAAGGTCAATGAGGTGACTCTGAAGTCCTGACTGACTCTGAGCCACATAGTGTCTCTGTTCATTGACATTTTAATAAAGTCTTGTCTTTTTTAGACCTCATGTCCCCCGGAGCCAAGTTGCCACCAAGTGCCACCTTATGGGGATCATTGCACCTCTCTGTCTTTGGGAGCTAGTCTGGTACCTGTGTCTTATACAGGTCAGAAAGTAGTTTAGAAGGTCAGAACTGGGACTGTCCCAAAAGGATTGGGATAGTTACCTCCTAATACATTTCTAATCTAAAACATGGTGGCAGGGTCCAGGGAAGGTATGACGTTGCAAGATGCTTAGGCACTAGACTGATGGGGTTTTAGGCAGGCAGACAGCCTGGACCAGGCCTGGAATCCTGAAGACTTTGGCATACTGGAAAGCTGGAGAAGGGACACGGCTGCTGCTGGCTGAATTTTCAGGAGAGCTGGTTCAGAGATCTGGCCAGGCATGTTCCCCTGAGAGATGCTGAGAGCTGAGCTCTCTGTGATCTCTGTGGAAACGCGGTGGTCCAGAGCCAAGCCCTGAGCTGGTGTGAAAGCACGGCCCAGCGCTGCTCCCCTGAGAGCTGGGGCATGAATGTGTGCAGGCTGAGCTCTGGCCCAGGCACCCCAGCAATTACTAATAATATAGTAATAATATAATTACTAATAATCACAAAATCATAGAATGGTTTGGGTTGGAAGGGACCTTCCACTAGACCAGGTTGCTCAAAGCCTCATCCAGCCTGGCCTTGAACACTT